ACACCAAACAACAAACTGAAACCTTTTCCAAATTGTAAGTCAGCTCTGATACCATTAACGTACAACCTAAAGCCAAGTACGAATCACACTTGACCTCATATAACGTGGTTCACCCTCAAGGGTTACGTCCACGGCTCAAACATGCGAGAGAGTTTACTCAGAAGGTGAATACACAATGCTGCTCCATAAAGAAGCCTGGGCCTTGGGGGTATATTTATACCCAAAGCCAGTGACACATCTAGCTATAAATAGCTATAACATGAGGTTACTCCTTAACCGGAGGTAACCTCAACAAGATACATGTTATGAATATAGGAATTAAAATAATTTTGGTTATCATAATTTATGTTTGTTTAATATCTTTGGAGAGCAATTGATTAATTTTATTATGAGATGAAATTTTTACTTTATCTTTTTTTTCTAAGTATTATTCTTATGTTTATTGCAATACATTTGTTTGATCTTATTTATTTAATGAACGATATATATAAATTTGGCCATTATTATCAAAGCTTTTTGATAGTTTGAAGAGAAATGACAAAATAATCAAAGACATCAAGGTGTTATTGGATTTCTTTCCATATATACATATTGATGCTCATTAGTTTCAACAAAGCATATAATTTATCTAACAACATTTGTTGCAAGAAAATTGTGTCATTAAAGTCTTAAACAAAAAGTATACAATCATTATACTCATTCATTTGTTTGAAGTTTATGAATATAATTTAACAATATTCACAACCAAACTACTAAGGAAATTTCAAATCAATGTTTTTGAAAGTGAAAGATTTAAGCATTAACATATTGCATAAATTCATAATCTTTAGTATGACTTAACTTTCACATGTATCTCTAAAAGCATATTAACTTCATGTTGTAACACTAGGGTTTAGATAGAAGTTCACTCGAAGATGTAAACATAAATTTTGAAGATGAGGTATATCGACTATGTTTATACTCTCCCTTATATTCTCTTACCAACAAGTGTGAGGATATAAAAATTTCATCCCCACCATCCAATCCACTTCTAGTGGATTGGTGACATAACGGATTTACCTAAAGACCACACGGATTGCTTACGTGCTGTTAACCACTAACACACTCAATCTTTACCCAACAAGCACACCGATTGATGACATGTCGTTTCCAACTAACATGTGAATTAGCACACCGATTGCATATATGGCTATGTAGGTATTACATTGTCATCTATTCCACTCAATCTTTAGTTCTAACTAACTAAAGATAGATACACATGTCCATTGTATTTGATTATGTTATACACTTCCCTCGAACTCCAAAGCAATTATCTACCTTGGTTAAATATTTGAGATTGAAACTTATGTGTATGAATGATTCATCTATTTCAATCATTTGAAAAAAATTATACATCAAAAGTAAAATACTAGGATTTAGGGTTTCATATCTTCAATCTTATACAAACATGAGATGTTTTCTACTCTTAGCTTGTAATATATTCTTTCACTTCCTCAACTCCTTAGTGTGATCATCCAATCTCAACCACTTATAGATAGTATGAAGTAATGATGCAACACACATTCTAAAGAACTAGCGTATCCAACAATGTCATGAGAAATTTTTCGATTATAAAGTAAAATAAAACAAAATGTGTGTGATATAAACAAATTTCATATGACATATAATAAACTTTTTGTATTTTTAATGTACATTATGTGGAGAGAATACACTTTTTAGATTTAGACTAATTCTTCAATATGAGTTTATTTGTCATGAAAAAAAGTTGACAACACAAATTCAAAAACGTAATTTGAAAACAAACACACATACTTACATTAGAGATAAATGCACATGAAAAGTTGAAATATGCAATTCATCATTGCAGAACTTAAAACATCTTACATTTATTAAGAAAACCAAAGAAAATCAAGAAAAACTTTCTTATATTTGCTTACAAATTGACAACCTAATAAAATTCATTGTTTATATTAAGTTTCATAGACTACAAAAAAGTCAAAGTTGATTCATAATGACATTAATAAAACAAACATTCATAAAGTCTATATTGTTTTTAGTATGATTTTAAACCAATATTTTAAATTTGATGTATCTTCATTGAAATAATTTAAAAATATAATTTTGAGTTAAAATTTAATTTGAAATTAGTCAATCAGCTATAATATAGAAAATGAACCAAAAAATGTAATTTAAAATTTTCAAAAATATTAAATTAATGTAATATGTAAATTAAAAAAATAAAATTTGATCAAATTACATTATAAGAATATAATTATAATTTACGGTAATTTTTTGAAATTTTTTTTTAATTTTTTAAAGAATTGAGTTTATTTAAAAAATGTATTTCTAATAATAAAATCTTAATATTGATTCTTGGAAAATTTATATTATATTTATATTGTGAAAAAATAAGAATTTAAATTTATTTTTTCTGGTCAAAAAATTTTAATTTATAATTATTTTAATTTAATTAAATTTAAATCTTCATATTTGATCCTTTCAAATGCAAAATACACATAGAAGTGATTATTTGAACAATCTATGATATTTTTATATCAAACAAAATCCATATATTGACTTTTAAATATTATTTATATGGATTTTTTTTTCATTTATGAAATAATAAAAAAATTTCGTAAAAAAATATTTATTATATCAATTGATAGAAATATCTTATTGAATGGTTTTTACAGCTATAATAGGTTGGAATTATTATTTTGATCAATTTTGGAAAATTTTATTTAATTTAAATAATATCACAAAATAAAAAAATTTAAATTTTTTTTTTACATTATTAGATTATAGGTTTGATGAGCTATCGTAAAATTCAATTATCATCACTTTTTTTAACATTATGTTACATACAAATATGTAAACAATAATGGTAGAATAAATATGTTCAGGTTGATATTTGACCATAAAGAGGAATGCCTATTTTTGAATCTTTAAATAAGGATAGATCGTACAAAAGGTTTTGCCAAACTGTCAGAAAAAACTTTTTTTATATAATCATGTTTTTATTTTTTTTATTTTGAATTTTGAAATTTACTTTGTTTACATACGTAAATAAGCGAATTCTAATCTGAATTGAGTAAATGTTAAAGAAAAAAATAGGTGGCAACATAAAAAAACCTTCTAATTTTTCAATTCAAGGTTGTGATGTTTTTCAAATCAAAAAGTATAATCCTTAGGTTTAAGTTTTGTCATATAAGGATATACAATATATATCTAAATATGATAAGCTAAATTTCAATCATTTAGATAAAATACATACTTCAAGGGTCATCATTAATATTAGTTTGAGGATTACAACTGGTTATTGATTTACCAGTTTGTACAATTTCCTATGATGAAATATATTATTATTTGTAGAGAGGGAAAATATAATTACTCAAATCTAATCATGAACAATAAGATTGTTCATAAGTTTCTTGAGATGGTAGTGAAGTCCTTTTCATTATATTTATAAACATTTATGTGAAAATCAGATAATCAAATCAGCAATGTGGGCGTGGAATGTCTTACTTTTTGGATAGAGGGTAAATAAAATTACTCAAATGATATCATGTCCAATGAGAGTGTTCATACGATTATTGAATTGGTATTCAAGTCCTCTTCATTAGATTCACTAGCATTTATGTGAAGATGATGTGTTTAAATTCAGCGTTGTGGGAGTGTTTCGCTCATCAATGATAATTGTAATATATCACTCTTATTGAATAATTAGTTGAAAATCATGAGAAATATAAAAAATAGATTTTGTATACCATTAGTACCCTGTAATTGTTTATTTGGACCATTAATATTGATTAAAAATTAATCCTTTCGATACTTCAATGCAAATAAAATGATTTATTGATTCAAAATTTATTTTATGATGTGAAACCATTGCAGGACTATGTGTCATATACATTTATATAGCATAATCGTCATTCATATTAAAGAGGAAATCATGCAGTGACACTAGGGTTTGATTTTGAGGAAGACGATATTTGTGATCTAGGGCAAGAATTGCATTTAAGGCCAAAAGCGTTGTAATAACTAATGAATAGCATTTTACTTAAATGAATACGTAGTAACTTCTTGACTGTGCTTGTAATGAAAGACAATTCTAGATGATATACCTACGCACGATTTGTTTTCATACAGTCATAGTATGGATTCAGTGCATTATAGGACTTATTCGATAGTGAATATGCATATATTGATACACTAGTTCAACATTCTTGAAGGTGTCAACAAATTGTTGTCTTTCAACCCTTAATTTATTCCTACATATTCAGATCAGGGAACCGCTCCAATAGAAGGCAGGGCAACAACTGCAGACAAATTGTTACAATAGCAGGACGCACATGTGTCCTGGGCTGTTCTCAGCGAAACACCGAACTGTGTTTGAAGTCGTTATTCCATTTTCGTAAGAGTCATGATCCGAGCATGTGGCGGAATATATCGAGAAGGCCGAAGCCGGGCGAAAGCCTATGAATAATCAAGAGAAGAGCGCCAGTAAAGTACAAGAACATGGAGCATCCGAAAATGGGTCGCGAAACCGTACTCGCTCGATCGAGCGTCGGCCTGGGGGATGGTCGTCAAGTCAGAGGGGGAGGCCTCGGCGGGTCGAACCACTGTCATGCGAGTGGGCTTTAATTGGAGATGGCGAAGCACAGCGCGGACGCGCCCGAAATATGCACGATGCGATGGATTCGAGCGCGCCTACTAACAGCATCCATAGGCGCCAGGCCTAGCAGGTTGGCCAAATCATCGGGCTTCCGAGCCCTGCCTGCCGATCACCGTAACTAGTAACTCCCAGGGGCGCGGGCCGGGCCGGGCCGGGCCGGGGCGGGGGCCGCCGCGGCGGAAACCCGCGACACGGAGGATTGGCGCGGAGCAGGGCTCGCGAGCAACCCTACGATGCTCGGTGCGGCTTGACAGGCGGGGAGAGGAGGAGAGTGGGACAGGGAGGTGATGGTGACAGAAAGGGTCGGGCGCTCGCGAGGAATAGGATGTTAGCGCCGAAACTGGCCCGTTTGGCGGAGCCGGAGGTGAGGTCGGCTTGAGGTAACTTTTGATGCTGGCAAGACATAGGCTTTGCGAGCTGCTGGCTGGCTGGTGCTGGTGCTGACCGGAGGTAGTAAGTGTTCTGGCGGGAGGCAGCAGGCACGCAGCAGGCAGGCCAGGGCAGGGCAGGGAAGCGAGGGAGGCGCCCCGGCAGGCAGGCAGGGAGGGCAGAGAGGAGGGTTGGGTTGTGGCGAGAAAGGTGAAGGGCAAGGCGAGGAAGGGCGAGAAAGAGAGAGAGAGAGGAGGGAGAGGCACGGTGCGATCGGCTGTCAAAACTCCAGCAACGCCTGTAGGCGCGGCCTCTCTCAACACCTCGATCGGGAAGCGAAGGCAACGAGCTCCTTCCGGGGGGTTGTGTTGGCAGGGAGCGCACCAGTCGACGCTGCGCTTCCCTCTCTGGTGTACCCGGCGATCAATTAGAGTGAGTGGGAGTCGCATGAGTGGAGGTGCTGCCGAGAGCATCCTCTTCGTCTGTTCCTCGGTTTCGTGTGCTGTTTGCATTTTTTTAAAGTACTCGCGCTCTTTTCTCGCCCGACTGTGTGTGTCGTTATCTGCGGCTGATTGATTGTGTGAATCGGTGGCGCGGGCGTTCTAGGGTTGTTGTCGCGGTGGGAGTCCGGAAGGCAGTGCGGAGTGGGACAAGAGCGAGAGCGAGAGAGAGGTAGAGAGAGAGAGAGGGAGGAGTTTCAAGGCAGGGCGAGGCCGGAGGACACGCGAAGCGGCGGAGACATCGTTCGCTCTAGAGATCTTTCGTAGGGAAACATTATGACCAACACGGGAGGTTCTGAAAACCGCCCTCCCTTCCAAATGTCGGATCTTGGTGCTACTCTTCCCACTGTACCCGGTACGTTTCTCCTTTGTGATACAGGGTGCCATTGGGTCTGAAAGAATGCTCTGAATGGCATCGTTGGTGGTGTTGTGGGAGTCAGGAGGGTCGCATTGCGTACCTTTTACATCCCCATGTCCCGCCTTCCTCTATTCACTAGATTGCCCTGAGGATGTGTAGCCGGATGCCTCCTTTCCTCGCTGCGTCTCTCTATCCTCGTCTTACTTTTTGCACTAGCCTGAAGCTTATAATCCTGGAGTATCCTCTGTGCTTAGAATATTCGCGCAGTCTCCCACGTAACCTATCGCATGTTTGAAAATCTCTCTTTACGCACGTTAAGGTGATTGAATCAGCGACCAAGAATTCGCCTCACGTCGTGTTCTAGACACTGCTTTCTTTCTTTTGTACATCCCATTGTTCTATGTAAGCCGAAGGTCATGTGAATCTTTGAACCGTCAAGCATTCCAGTTGTGGAGGAAAACTTTTCTGGAGAATACTTGACCCTACTTTTTGATGTCAACCATGTGTTTTAGTCGGTGCCCCGATGCCCGTCATAGTCCCATCTTGTGAAGCCGTGAAGTCCATAGCAGTCTATGTACACCGTATTATCTTCTGGTTTTGGCCTACGACTTTGTGTCGACCTCCTGCGGCTTGCTGGCCAAGCGGACGAACTTACTTCGTTTTATGCAATGTCTTTTTCCAGGTCTCAGCGCCGTAGATCGAGCTGGATTGGTCAATGTCCTGAAGGTAAGCCCTGCTATGTCAAGCTTGCTTGGTGATTATATTTTCCTTTTAAGCTGTGCGCGTAGAGCACGTCGGTTACTCTCGACTGTTCTGTTTTTCGCAGGACAAGCTGCAGTTTCTTGCTGGACAGTCTTCGGGATACCTCGAGTCACTTTCTCCCAAAGTGAAGGCTCGAGTTGCAGTCCTGCAGTCCCTTCAGGTTTGTCGGACTTCGTTAATTCCGTTTGTCCCAATCCGCGTGTATATAAATCCGTGATTTCATTCGAGAACTTTCATTATTCTGTCAATTAGGGCAACAAACATTGGTCTCGTGTCGATTATATTCGTCTTCTTTCTCCAGACCGAGCATGACGTTCTCGAGGCGAAGTTCCACGAGGAGAGAGCTGCGTTGGAAGAAAAGTACCAAAAGTTGTACGAACCTCTTTACACCAAGGTGAAGCTACGATCCTCTATCTCCGTTTTCTGAAGTAAGAGAGGCCGTATCTCTATCGCAGCCGTGAAGAAGATACGGTCTGTCTTTCCTCAAGAAACAACGAGAGGGAAATCCGTCGCCTTTAAAGTTTCATAGACTCAGGCGAGATATCTGAAGTTCCCAAGCGAGGGAGGCTCTCCTTTTGTTGGGCATGTTCGTTATGCATCTCTATTCTTCAGTTTCTCTGCCTGAACTACCAAATGTCGGTTGGCATGTTGCATTGACGCTTTGTGTTCTGTCTACTTTCTCTTGCATTGTATCGCTAAAAGAATTTGAATCTGTCGAGCACGAAGCTCCTTGTGAACACTACCGGGGAAGCCTGATTTATAACAATCAATAATTTGAACAATTTACTCACATGTCAGACATCTTTCGCAACCAATGTTTGGGGTCATGGTGTTTTTCTAATTGAGGTCTCTTTCCGTTAACCGGCCGACGGTAATGTTTCCCAGCACCGTATAGTGAGACTTGGGCCTAATGTCTTACCAATGGTGGCCTCAGTTCTATTGATCTGTAGGATGACAGCCAATCATGATTGATTAACCGATTCTACGTATTGTTGCTTATGGCTACAGCGTGCGGACATTGTAAATGGAGTCGTCGATGTCGAACACAAGGCCCCCGAGGCAGCTGCACCAGCAGCAGCAGCAGCTCCTGCGGCACCCGCTGCACCTGGAGCACCAGCGGAAGCAGCGAAGGAAGAAGGTACTCTACTGAACTGGTCATTGTCGAAACAGGGCTAGATGAAAGTTGTGTTAAAGCAGGTCCTTTGCATCCTGTCTTATTGCCGTGGGTTTTCAATCTTGAGCTAGTGGATTGCTGACCTGATGGGCAACATGCGAAGGAGTATTTGGTTATGATACCCATCTTGAGAGTACCCATCCATCGGTCCAGAGAACGCTTGATATCTACATGTAGTGAAACACTCGTAAGTACCAAGTGTTCAGCTACTTGTGATTCCGAAGGGAATATTTTCTGAAATAGATTTCTAGATCTGGGCATCTTGAGGTGGAAAGCGTTCACCTAAGCTGGAGGGTTGTTGAAAGGCCATCTAAGTGTTTGTGAATTGTCAAATAGCCTTTCTGCCGTCTTGAAACGAACCGAGTTTCACTCATGTACATCTCCGAGCTCATGTCTTTTTGGTGTATAACTTTCTCCGCTGGCCTCACTTTTTGCAGTTAACTGCTGATTTCTTAATACCAGTTTTATAGTTTAATTGCTGCTATTCTTGCTTCTTATCGTTCCATTCTACGACCGAATCCCATGTTCCACTCGTTTAGGTTAGACGATGCGCACATCTCTGAAATAGCAATCTTCTAGCGCCCAGACTTACGGAGTGGACATTCGTTAGGATCTATTGTGATTCCAATGTACAGTCAGCCATTGTCAGAGACAATGGCCTTCCAGATTACCTTTGACTCGGGTCTAACAATATGCACTTCGAAACCTACCCAAGATTTTTACATCTGAAAGAATAGAAGAGGTTTCTTCCACCGTGTTACTTACTTTTAGTTTCATTGTCAATTTTCCGTTCTCACTTCAGAGAAGGGAGTACCCGAATTTTGGCTGACGGCAATGAAGACGAACGAAATTATGGCAACGCAGGCACGTGATCTTTTGAGTTCTTATCATCGGGGTTTGTTTCTCGCCAGTTTTTCTTTGATTCGCGATCACCTTCAAGCTTTTCGGTATTGATTGATGATTGCGTTCGTGTCAATATACTTGCAGATATCTGAACGAGATGAATATGCTCTCAAGTTCTTGAAGGACATCAAGTGTAGCAACCTGGACGACAACAAGGGCTTTAAGCTTGACTTTTACTTTGATAGAAATCCTTACTTCAAGAATACGGTGGTGAGTTGTGTTTTGGATCTCTCATTGTCTTCATTCGTTGTCTTTCTTCACAAATCTGCTCTTTCAAGCAAGCAATCTTTCTCATTTTTTTGCCGCATGCAGTTGACGAAGACGTACCACATGATCGACGACGACGAGCCGATTCTTGAGCGTGCAGACGGGTAACGAACCCTGCCCCTGCTTAAAGAGTTGTGTTTGAATTGTGGTTTCTGCTGTTTTGGACTTTCACGACATACCTGCGAGACTGCCTTCTCATGCTCAAGTTTGGTTACGATATGCATTTACTGTACAGTAGATGGTCCACCACGACTGTTTAGGACATGGCGTCTAAGTTACAGGTGTATTACGGAAAGCGTTGCATGGTTAATGTCCAAAGGGCAGAGCATGACCCACTTTATACGATAACGACCCATCTTGTTACGAGAAGGGATATAGTATATTGGGAGTATTCCAATGTTCTGAAATTGCTACTTGGGTTCTCTGAGTGGTCCCCTAGACTCGAACCTAAATCAACTAACATGGTGTCATAGTACAATCCTGCTACTCGTCGAGCCTCGATCGGCGCACCCAGTGGATTGTCTCCAAATTCCATGACATCTGCCATTCAGAGAACTACTTCAAACATCTGCAAGAATGTATCACTTTCGATCCGTGATCATTTGAGACATGCAGCTGTACTGCTGTACATGTCTCAAAGTAGATCTTGGTGATTAGGAAGACCACAGGGAGGCAGATATTTAGCACAGATGCTTGATTTATGTTTACGTGTAGGCACAGTTGGATCCTGATGTTTCAATTTCGTCATTGGGATTCTTTCTATGCAGGACGGTTATTGATTGGAACCAAGGGAAGAACCTGACGACGAAGATTTTGAAGAAAAAACCCAAAAAAGGAGCCAAGACCACTAAACCAGTAACCAAGACCGAGCAATGTGAAAGCTTTTTCAATTTTTTCAACCCTCCCCAAGTACCGGAGGATGATGAGATCGACCGGGATACCGTGAGTCCCTTGGCTTGCTTACAACTTATTTCAATATGCTACTTGCTGCTTCACATTCTCGTCTTTATATTGAACTCAAAAGTATCATTTCGAACCTGATGCAGGCTGAACAACTTCAAGACTTGATGGAGCAGGATTACGACGTCGGGTATGTGACAAACATGCTGTGATAGTTGAAAGGGCCTCAATTCCTATTATGCATTTTCACCTAAGTTGTCCATGTTCTTCGAAATGCCACAGTAACGTTTGTCAAATTGATCTGTACCCGAACTCTGTATCATTGCCATATCAAGAGGTTTTGGAGCATTAACGCTTGCTTTTGGGTCCATGCAGCTCAACAATTAGGGACAAAATTATCCCTCATGCCGTATCCTGGTTCACTGGAGAAGCCCTACAAGCTGAAGATTTCGACGTTGAAGATGATACTACTGATGATGAAGATTATGATGACGATGACGAATATCACGATGAGGATGATGAAGATGATGATGAGGATGAGGACGAAGATGAGGAGGAAGAAGTACATGTCCGGAAGGTATGATGTATTTGAATGTTGGAGAGGTGATATGGCCTTCTTTACAATTTCTCTTGCAGTTTAAGCTGTTTACTGTTATTGTCTTATGGGACGGATGTCTAGGTCTCATTTTATGCTACTGCCTCTTTTGCAGTTATAGGTCTTACTTCAAGATCTGCAGCTCTGATTTGATGGGTACAAAGTTCTGATTTTTTCTCGTGTGGTTCTCTGTCAACAGAGAGGTGGACCTCCTTCGAAGGTGAGACCCCGTTCTTTATTTTGAAATTTAGAATGAGTTCAGTTTTTCTTCGTTGGCTCGATGATTTATCAAATTTTCACGGTTTGCTCGTGGAAAATCGCGTTGAAACTGAGCTGCTTTATGTGGAAATCTGGATACAGGCTGCCACAAAGAACTCTGCTGCAGCCGTTGAAGAAGGCAGCGAGAGACCACCGGAATGCAATCAGCAATGAGCGTTATAGTTGCCCACTGTTATGCCGGAAGTCAGTAAAAGCTTGATGGTGGGAATGCATAGGTGTTTTCGTTAGGATCTTTAGTAGGCAGCATTGGTTCACTCTGCTAGTTATTCGTAATCTTTAGAATTCCACTGAAGAGGCCTGTCCAAAGCAGAGTACAAGACACAATATCTTAGTCCTTCAGGCTTCCACTAATAGGAGAGGCTGCTACTTCTGATGTTGGCAGCTGGATTTTTACTAGGTTACAAAAGTAATGAGTTTTATTGACTTGTGCCATGTATTAATAACGGGTGGAGTTGAAGCGGTGGAAGAGTCAGAGGACTGACTCTCCTGTCCTTCTTCCCTAGGTTTTGCTCTTACTTCATATTAGTACCGTTCCATTCTTCTAGCTTCTTCTCATTGAGTAAATCACAAGTTGACGGATTATCCTCCAAATTTACGTGACATGAGTAGATCTGGGATGATTTGGCGTGCATGTTTTTGATTATTTGTTTCCGTGTTTTAATACGAATTGTTAAAAGAATAATGATAATGTTTCGTTTGTCTACGGATCTCAAATTGCATATTTGGCGGAGATGCAATGACGGTTTGTCAGTAACAACAATGGGCTATGTAGGAAGGTAAAGTCTTATGATCTGTAGAAGGAATATTTGAAGTGCATGTTCATTCAAACTTGGGAACTGGCACATGAGACCTTGAAGCAAAACGGATTGACTAGGACGAAGTGTAAATCTGATATTAGGGCCTTACACATGCCGGCTACAAGAGAATTGAGCGCGGAGCGGAGGATTACTGAACAGAGAAAAGAGTATGAAGCTAGACAGTTGCGATTTTCTAGTTTAAGAACGGAAATTCCGAAGTCTTTGTTTCTCATGAACAAATTTGTAAAGCTTAGAAGTACAGTAGAGAAAACAATCTGATGCGTCGCCATTACAGGGAAAGCTCGGGCAAAATATAGGAAAGTGATGTAAGAGTGTTAGTCAGTAAACAATCTTCCCCACAAATCTGATTGATTATATATCATTCTCTGGTGTTCCGCTTCCTCATTCCTTGGCTGTGAAATTTTCGCGCTATATTCTGCTTACTCACAATAAATGACCAAATCTCCATTAAGGTGGAATACAATCGAAGGACATGTGCTCTCTCGAAGAAGGGGGAAATCTTTCCCGAGAGAACCTGTCAAAGATGTCTTCTAGCTCGAGAATCACAAAGCGCAGACGTGCAACCTTCAATATAGTCCGGAGTTCAATCAATGTGAAATCTTATTTCACTCGATCTCGTGACAAGTGACAGAATCTCTTAACTATGTGTAGAGTAACAACTACGGAGGGTGGCTATTGGAACTATATTGCCCTGTACTGCACACGGTTAATATACGTCGCATCAACGCTATTGGACTTTCTTCCAAGCTAAAGTGACACAGAAGCTTCCATCTGAAGAGGGAACGTCCAGATCATACATGTTTCAAGGTTGTAAACGCCTCAAGGTTTCAAATAAATTGGCTCCAGTATTTAAAAAATCCGTTGCTGAAGAAAAATGAAATTTCAACTTGTCGAAACGTACAAGGTATAGATGATAAGGAAGACCGTAAGTCACGCGAACTGCAATTCAAATGCATAAACTTATTATAATTTATCATATAGTGAACAATGAATCTCTGGTGAGATGAGGCAGATTGTTTAAGTTGTGGAGCCAAATGCAAGGTAACAGTGGAGGGAGAACTACAGAAGAAGATAATAAGTAGTTGAATCGAAAGCTGAAGTCCATTGTAAGAACTATGGCAATTTAATGGAGAACTTAAATTCATGAATCTAATTCAGAACAATAAAGAGGAGAGAAAAAAATACTGAATAATTCCTTAACAGTATTGGAGGAGGTAGGCTTCTTATGCGTCAACAGCTTATTGCTCAATCGCCGATCAAAGAAAGAGCAGACCTGCTTCTTTGATTGGCGATTGAGCAATAAGCTGAAGCAGGACTGCTCCTGTTTCTTTGATGTATGAAGAAATCTAAAAAGTATCATACAATCTTCTGGGCCATAGAATCAAATCCAGAATTGCACATTTCCTTCTTTAGGACAGGAAGAGCTAATAGCAAGACTGGATTTTTCATGTGGCAAACAGCTTGGGACTCTGAGATTCACTGGTAACAATATACAAAGTTTGAGCTGAAATCAACATTTGTATGCAACAAATCAGGAAAAAGTGTAGCATATGTGAATATCAAAGCCAGAGTGGAACTCTGAGATGCACTAATCACAATTACTAAACAAGCTGACCTGAGATCAGCATTTACATACCACACATCGCAACACATGTAATCATATGTTGAGATAATCACTGCTTTCACCAAATTCGGTAATCTAGATCAGTACGCCGAAGTGGTGCACCGGATGTAAAAGCTTCCTCATTGAAGCTGTTAATAAACAATGATTTCTTCCCCGGTCTCTTGGATTGTAAATGCAGAGCCGTGACTTTGATATCCTAACCAAGCTAGCCCTCCGCCGTGGCTGAATCGATTATGCAACTCTGGAACTGTTTTAAGTTGATGAAACTCTTTCAGGGTACGCAGGCCCATAGTCCTCATCCGAATCGGGCGGTTATGTCCTTCCTGGATTAGACTTGTTAATGCAAGGTTTTGTACACGAAAGGATATTGTTCGGGATAAGGACACCACGAAACAGATGACAACCAGAACGTAGTCTAGAGTTCCACCGGTGCTGCATATCCACATCCATACTGAGCGTCGCAGGTGCCTTCGATGCCTCTTGTATGGTTTCAGATAAAGGCAAATGTGGAAGACTTCTATTCGGTCCTGTTCGGTTGAAAAGGACCCGTCCAGTAATAGCTGATGAGAATGGTGGCCCGTGGGCGGGATCTAGTGCATCAAGTGGTCCAGATGTTCAGGTGTTTTCTTCAATGGTATTGATCCGAGGCTGCGAGGGATTTTGGTTTTGCTTAAGACTTGTCCTGCTTTCACCTGCATTATTTGATCTATTTGTTGTTCTTCACAGGTGGCGAGAGATTCAGGAGATAATTAGTTGCACTATTGTCCCAAAAGTACACAATACTGTGCATGCTTTCGAAGGAGATATATTGAATTAAACAGATAAGGTGTCCCTCGATTACATGAATATCATTCAGCCTCAGAGTCTTTATTTTGATTATTCAAATCTTGGATTGTCTTACGGGCTGTAGAGCAGCAATTGTGAACAAGATACCACGAGGAGAAACATATGAATCAGAGATTACTTTACGAGCATAATCCGTCACAGTGATGAACATGCATGTTGGGAGTCAAGTATGCCACAACTCGACTTCTTCGTCGAGGCCTCCATCCATTTACAGTCATCTGATTGGAGACTGCTGTACACTACAGAACAATTGTACGACGGCTAGCGGCCCTTTATTCGCGTACCCCTCGGTGCTACTGTCTGAACACATGCTTATATCCTTCCAATGCCCACGAGCGATCTCCAGTTTTCGCACACCCATAATCGTCACGATAGAGCGATGATTGCCCACATTTCCTGAAAATCTTGTCACCAACGCGAGGAAGTGACTCACAAAGGTGAGCTCCGAGCTTGTGGTACACTAGGTCGCGTACGCAGTACAGCTTCTTGACAGAGGATTCTCTTGACTGTACGTGAAAGGCGACAAATACGACTCTCCACGTAACATCGAGGCTAACCTGCAGAGTGTCTAGGGGTGTGTCATTACGGCTACCTTCATATGGCGACGACTGGATATTCTACCGGCGATCCGCCTTTCCACTTCCAGTTCCTCGTCGCTTCCCATCACCATGACGTGCTCCAGTCTCTACTCACGTTTGAGTCCATGTAGGTCAGCACAAACATGTCATCTATTTGAGAGAGCTAGTTCCGATACATGAACCTACCTGAAGTCAAATATATTATATACTTCTACGCGAAGTGACTCAGACTCACTGAGTTCCGATAGACCTCCGTGAGCTTGTCTACTAGTTCAAGCTCTCTGCAGAATCTGCACAGATGCCCACATGTGACTTAAGCCCCGAACAGTAGAACACAGCTATGGATAAATTCGTGGAGAAACTTGCTGTAGTGCTAGTTTGAATTTTTATCTCTGAACACTACCTGACTCGTCGTCGACCCATATCCCCAAAATTCAGAAGAACTGCACCGGTGAGTGAGGTCATCAGGGGATTTACAGTCTTCAACCTCGGTTCATGTGCCCTCCCTGAATTCCGCAACCTTTATTTTACCATCCGCGAACCAGATCTTTTTGACTAAGCGTATGGTGCCACTTGGCAGAGTGCTACACGGTTTGCGGCTGTGTTCCTTTCCCTGAAGTGTTCCCCTGGGTTCGCAATTGACCTGAATCAGATGCACAGTCTCAAGTCTCCGTATTCCGAAGCTTTTATTCTACTGAGCATGCAGAGAATTCGAACCCCGTGTTGATCTGATCATTGGAGCTATGGAGGTGCGTCTTATTCTCTGCGGCCCGAACCTACCGGAGAGAAGAGGAAAAAGTTGCGGAGGCTGAAAGCGTCGTCGCCCTTTTCCACATGGACGGTCACACCTCGCGGGCTAGACCCCGGCATGGCGTATAGCAATGAGTCTCACTGTACATCGCGACTCTGCTGACATTGTACAAGGGCCCAGATTTGGTATGCCTGCAATTTCCTGCCTTCTTCTAAAAGTGCAAAGAGGGAAAATCGATCCTCGAGCTCGCTCTGGCTTTTTCCTCCCAGGATCTCCCAAATATCGCCCAAGTTCAACCGTCACACCCATCGGCAAGAGGGAGCGAAAGAAAGACAATCAATCCATTGAAGTGATATGACAATCCATCTCAAGTTGCACAGTATCTTATGTCCACCCACTTCCTGCTAGTGGAAGTTAACCTGTCCCATAGCAAATTTAGATCAAAGCCTCGTCCCCTCGGCCCACCAAAATGTACGCCAATCCATGCGAGAGCCCGAACCGCGCAGGAAGTTCATCGGAAGATTCGCGGGAATCCACCGCAACCATGATCCCTGCGGTATTACTAACACCTCGATATCTGATCCGAGCAAATAGAACCGTAAATCGGAACTCCGTGCGCCTGAGCTCAGTCAGTGGCTGAGGTCTCCAAGTTCAGTGGGAGCCTCGAACCATAGCAGAAGGTCCGGCGTACATTTCTCCACAAAAATTATATGGCTCCGAGATGAAGGGGACCGGGGAGGGAGTTGACATTCTCGTCAGGCATTGACCCGTTGGCGATCGGAACTGGCCGGATCTGAAATCGGGCGTATTTTGTCCGACCGTCCACGGTTGACGAAGCGGGCGAGGGAGGTCAGGCGGATGGACCACACCTGGATCCGGGCAGAGGGATGGCGCAGATTCCACAAATAGAAGGACCCATTATGGCAGACAATTTTAGCCACCGCCAACATTCTCGATGTTCGCTTCTGGCGAGCAGCAGCGGCGGGAGGAAGCAGCCCCGCTCGGAATACCCTGCGGTGTCCCATTCGGCCCCGATTGCTCCACGATCTCGAACTCACCGGGAAAAGCCCGCCTCGGCTCCACCGGAAGTTCCTCGAAAGAACGAGGCAGAGGTGGCCGAGAGTTCCTCCTATGGGTGTGTATGTATAATTGAGGTATTATATAAATATATTATACAGCACTCCAAAACCATACTTTGTATAATTGTATAAAGAAAAGGTAACGGCTAGTTATCACTCACTCAGGGCTAGTTATCCTAAGTGAGGGATAACTAGCCCTAAAAAAAGAAGTCCTCAATGGAATCCGCTCAAGTGTTGCTCGATTGCTACAAGTGTAAGATATTATTTTTGTCATAGACTCTATTCGAAATGGGGAAACCAAAATAAGCTATATGGGATAAGTTAGAAGCTTGATAGCAGATGTGAAACTGAAGAAATACCCCATTTACAAGGATGCTCGTGCTGGTAGCAATTATGAATTTGATCGCGTTCATATTTCTGAGGCAGTGTACGACATAAAGAGTTTATCTTCGAGGCCAAGGAGGCTATGGAGGAGGGTAACATCTACGAATGATAACATAAGGGTTTATGGTAACATGTTAGGTGGACCTCTGAGTGTTGTATAATACATATTTATTATACTGTATTATACCACGCAGTACCCGAAGAATTCAATTATACAAATCCATAGTTTCTCCCCGAGCTTTCGGCGTTGGGCACATTTGCTCCGTGGGGGCCGACGAAGGACGAAAGACGAGCGCTCGATCGCTGGGACTCGCGAGCTTTGCACACCAGCTTTCTCGCTGCTGGGAGCTTCGCTGCACGGGGCGACGGGTCACGTGGTGGGGCTTCGACGCGTGCCAGCAGTTTCTGGGCATCTTCTCCCGTTTGGCGGAAAGGCCTGTTTCGATCGAGCTTATATGAGCTTCCCGGGCCATGGTCACCCCACACTTCCACACTTCCCCGTCGCACCCGCAGCTCTCGAGCCTTCGGCACTTCGCCCTCGCCCACTCCGCTTCTCGAGCTTAATTTCTGCATGAATCACGAATTTCGCCTAGCTTACAATTCCCCATCCTCGAACCGGTCTCTCGCCTTCGAATTGCCGCGCACAATTGAATTCGAAGCACCGATCTCTCATTTAGCTGCGAATCCCATTGTAGTCGCGGTGAGCTTTATATTGCTGCGGTGCAGATTCCGGGTCAAACGAGCGAGCCAACCGTCGGACGCGTAGCGTCGTCGGACTCCCGAAAGTTGCAGCTTCTGCGGGTTGCACAGATTAGAACTTGACGGGGCAAGGGAGCGCAATTCCTTGATTCCCTTGTATTCTTCCCGAGGCAAGTGCCTCGGCCTCCACAGCGGCGGAAGTCGAATTCGGAGCTGTGACCGAGGGAGATATGGCAGCGGTGCATTCGCAGATGGTGTTGAGCAGCGTCGGCAACATCAGCAGGCACAGCAGCAGCAGGAGCATTCAATCGGTGCACTTCGAGGCGACGCGATTCGCGAGCTACGCGACCGAGGGGTGTTCGGACGACGAGGCCACGCCGAGGAGCTACGAATCGGGTGGTGCCAGCTCCATGACCTGGAATGCGGCGGAGATGAAGAGAGTGTTCGAAAAGGTGGACGAGAACGACGACGGCCTCATATGCGCTCAAGATCTGCTCAGATTCATGACCCGCCTCGGATTTCAGCTGTCGCAGGACGAGGCCGTGTCCATGCTCGAGAGCGTGGACAGCAACGGCGACGGGCGCGTCGACTTCCAGGAGTTCCTCTCGCTCTACAGGTCGCTCTGCGACGGGGACGCCGCCACTCCCTCGCCCTCGCTCGACGACGAGGAGGACGAGACTCTGCTCGAGGCCTTCCGCGTCTTCGACAAGAATATGGACGGCTTCATCACGGCCGAGGAGCTGCAGACCGTACTCCTGGACCTGGGCCTGCCCGAAGGCAAGAGCCTGAAGAACTGCGAGAGAATGATCCAGAGCGTGGACGTCGATGGCAACGGCGAAATCGACCTCAGAGAATTCAAGGAGATGATGAGCTCCAACTACATCTACTGCGAAGTCTGAAGGTCTCGGGCCATTCCCGGCACTTGCAGAGACTTCGCCTCGGGCTTCTGTGCCTTTGTATACTCGACCACAAGTTTGTGCATAGATTGGATCGTCGCTTAAATCCTGAGGACGAGGAGGATGGCAAATCTGTAGAAAAAAACCGCATCGCACGGCCACGGCGAAGAGATAGAGTGAGGAGTTCACACAAGAAGCCTAGATCCAGCCAATTTTTCGCATCCCACGGAGAACTCCGACGACGAAATTGATCATCGACTGTAGAAACGGAGTTACACGTCTACTTCTCCCCGACGCTCTCCGGGCGATGGTACCCTCCCGGGGTACGAGATTACTTTAATAATGTCGTCTGAATCCAACTCCCTTCGGACGGATGATTCGTCTTGTCACCCCCATTGTTACCAGCTTAGCGTGCTTTCGAGAAGTGATTTTTATGATTAATAGTTGAAGTCAGAAGTAGATTTCATGAGGTTCTCGAGGGGGTGAGTTTTGTGACAGTAGAATTGATTGTAAACATTCAACTAAATGTATGATTAATTTCATCATATCTCGACTCCAACTGCCACGGTCTGCTGTCGTCATTGGAATGAGGTGGAGAGTGGACAGGCTCCTCAGTGTCCGGAGTTTGATAAGAATCCCACCACTACTTTCACTTATGAGAATCAAGGTAGTTGGGATTCTTCTAAACATATATTTTTTACCTCTTGTTCTCTGTGATGTAGTCTCAATTTCACTTGCTTTTGACGAGGAAGAGGAAAGACTTCCATTCAATCTCATGACTTTGTTCTCTTTAGTCTTCACGGTAAATGGTTTGAAGGTGCACTATGAATATCTTGTGTAGTATTCGCACTCCGAACCAGATGATCTGATTATTATATGTTTGTTAAAAATTAAAAATATTAAAGTTCAACCATTAAGTTTATCAATGGATAGAATCCTTCCATGACTATTTTTGTAATATTAAATTCGAGTTATTAATTAGTTAAAATTTATATAAGTTTACATAATATATGATGTAATCAACGATAATTTGTATGTGTGTATACATTTATTGAAAGATGAAATTATTCATGTGATATAATTAATTATTTTTGTAAATAATAAAGAATTATAAAAATGTCAAATTATTATTTTAGAAATTACTTATGTAAAATGATACATATATATCATGATTTTAATTATATGATATATATTTTATTATAAATATGACGGGAATATAATCATCGAATCTAATTTGGATCAAAATCTTTCTTGTTTTAAATTTTTGTTGTTTATATTTATAAATATATAAAAATATATTTCAAATATATTTTATTAAATAAATATATTTAAAAATCATATTTTGAAAGTATTCGATTAATGTATTTACATAATTAATTATATAATAAGAAAATTCATAATAATAATAATTATTATTTAAAATTTAAAATATTAGTTCAAATAAAAAAACCATTTTGAATTAAATGTTATGAATAATATATACATTTCGTACTAGAACCGATAGACCAATCGATGCAAGGTCATAGTGGTCTTTAAAATTTAGTATTGTCATATTAAATACAAAATCATCTTAAAGAAATATATATATCTATGTACATAGTAAATTATATATTGACAACATTTGTTTAAATAAACTTGTGTAATCACAAGTTTAGTCCTTGCAACCCATTATCTATGGTGTAAACAACAAAATATGGAGTCTTTAAGAAAAAATTTACCTTCATTGTAGGGTTGGAGTCACAATAAAATTATTCGAGGCATGCCCATGCCCCTTTTCATGGTCAAAAGGCATGCCCAGTCCTCCTTAATTTTCGGGATCTCCCGAAATTACCAAAAATAAGCTTATTTCGGGATTACTTCAAAATTATTTTTGGGAAATTCGAGATATGGGGAAATATGGGAAATAAAGCTTTATTTTCGATTGGATAGAGCCTGCAGACGCGTCCACTAATCATCTGGCATGTAGCAGAGATAGATCTAGTTTAGTGGAGATAGTCCAACCCTCAAGGAAATATAGTTCCTCATGCTAAACATCCGGATCATTTGCTGAAGGTAACAAAGCCGGAGGACTTGTCTACATCCCACGCACCGACACAAAAACAACATTGCACACACTTGGCAAATCCTTCAGTTCCAAGAGCAGTTTGAGTACCATACAGCACCAATAACAAACATAATTTCCCATGTATTTCTTGACTTATCCCACCGTCTATAACTCTGGAATATGCATATGAATTTTTTTGTACATACGGGCATGCCCCCGTGCCCCTGCCCGGAGGCATGCCTCCAACACTACTTGATTGCCGTCTCCATCACAGTTGACACAAACTGTTCTCTGACGTGTTTGTCTCTACAAAACAAGTAGGGTCATAGACTCCTTCTCATACATGCTTGTCTTTTAGAAAATTGTAGTGCGCGTTACATCACAAAATGTGTATCATGTAACTCTCGTACACGACTAGTCGTCCAATGTCAATGACGTGTAGGGAAGGATTTGCTTGAGGACTTTGCATCTATCTGAGGATAGTATCCGTAGACAATACATCCACATATGGTTGACATTCTTCGTGCAGGATTTAGCATATACTTCAGAGTATACTAATTGAGAAGAATACATCCATCCGGTAGAATTTTTCCTTCGTGCAGGTCGTGAGTTCTGGAAATGTTTTAATGGAAGCAGCGAAGTGAAATTCTGGAGCTTGTACTAAATTTCACTTCTCTACCTCGAATTGTGAGGTTTGTCTCAGATCCTCAATAAGACAAGAACTGTGACTGTGCTTGTGAAATATCTAGTGCAGCATCATGTCAGAAGTGAGAGGTCTTGTAGTTTTATCGTCTATTCTTTAATGTCTTCACCGTTTACTTCACACATGGTGCTTGAAAATCTTAATTCTGAACCACTCATGACTTGGGCGTAATTCTGAAAGTTGCGCTCGGAGACCGTGGGTAGACGATTGAGATCCAGACAGAATCACTTAAGTTTGTTCTTGTTGCCCCAAATATTAGACCACTCATCCCAAATATAAGCATGACCTACGACCTCCAACATTTTCTTTTCTACTCTACGCACATAATCTCTGTGATCATCTCAGATCGAAATCAAGGCAATCTACTTAACACTGTCCAGGATGGCTGAACGATGTCTATTAGACCAGACATGTATTTTTCGATAAAACCGTGGTATACTTTCGAACCAGTGGGCAGGAGTTTGAACCCACTTGAGATTTCTCAAAAGTAAGCAATTCACCGAGGAGGAGCATGTGAAATATATAATTCGAGACGGTCAGATTAGACCATGTTCATTTGCAAAGCTAGGAATCAATTTAAGTCGTAAGTAGCTCAATCCACTCATCACATTTGCAAAGGCCAACATCAAAACAACCAATCTTGCAGTTCTGAGAATACAAACAATCCTCCAAAATCTTCACACTACACAACTTCGTGTAGTTTTGACCTCCAGCGATCAAATACAAGTTTACATTCCAAAGTTTCCGTATCCGCAGTTGCAATTGTCTTCAGACCTTCCATGATTTCGACAAACGTCGTGTTCTAAAATGCTAGACTTTCACTTGAATAGTAAGGCTTCAGAAGAAACCTGCGTTATTAAAGCTGAATAATGAATCATCAGGAGCTCGCAATCCTCTCCCATGTCTCCAATTAACCTATAGTCTAATCACTCTCAGAAACAACATTCTTCTAGAAGCTGTCACCTCACCAAATATCGAATGAAACCAACCATCTGATGCAAATGATTCAAGAGCTCTTAACACAATGTCTACTTGCCTTGTGTTGAAGCAAACGGTGGTGATGTCCATACTTTGATAGGGGCTTGACTGTATTTTGTGACCTAAACTGGAAGAACTGATGTTCGCCTAGAATGTAAAGTGACAGCGTACAGCAATCTTCTCAAATTCATCACTCAACCAGATAAATCTACTAAACATCATCTACTTGTTTTAAATGCTGTTAAAATTCAGAAACTTGTCAGCACAGAATCCAGTCTATGTCAATAGCCCAATGATAATAGCGATTGATAAGACTTCAGCAAAAGAATGAAACCAAACCTTCTCTGGAAGAAAGCCAGCTGGTGGGAAGGTCAACCTGCAGAAAGAAGAGCTCTACAAAGTGCATCACTGACGCAGAGTTAAAGCCACAACTTCCCTCATCCAATATTCTTATCTGCCTTAGTAGGAAGTTCATGATAATCACTACGAATAAGAAGATCACCGTAATTACCTTCATTAGCAATTCAAGCCTTGGCTTTCGTTGCCAGCACCTCGGAGAATACCCTCGTGACTCCAATGAATATATGTTCATGGTGAGGATATCAATATAAGAGGAAGACTATTGTATGAGAAAAATCGTAAAGACCTCTCTGTGCAGAAAGAAAATGCAGTGAACACGGCAATGATATTATCTTTTCGATTCGCTAGAAAACATTTAAAAATTTCTTCAATCCTTTTCATTTAAAAAAAATTCAGGAACTCAGAAAGTGGAGGCCAACAGGAAGTTCACTCCGACCAGATCATCTGAACGGCTTGTATCAAATCCTCCACATCGCTTTATGCAGCACCTGTTCTGAGTATTTTTCCACATTTACACAAAGGAAGTCAGACGAAGAAATGGTCATGACCTAAACTCTGTAACAAAAGTCTTTGTACGCAGAGAAATGTGAAAGTATAAGGACGCTTGTTCTGGTTGAGGTAATTCACTGCAAACTTCTACATGTCAATTTTTTTGTTTCACGGTTTCGTGTGATATGCTAACCGTTCGGTGAGAACCTCTACATTTGCATCCACCAAAAATTGAGTTCATTCTCGAAATCTGAAGACTACAGGCCAATGTGACTTTTTTGGCTTCTATAATAATGAAAATAAGCGTTCACACAAGTAAAGTCAGAGGTAGTATGAATGACAGTACATTTCAACAACGATCCGATCCCATCAATAGATTACAGGTATGGGCAAACTTCAAAGTTAGACCACCGTCAAAGCGAGACAATCGGGAAAGATAAAGAGAGTACTGACATTGACGGTTATTCATAAAAAACTGAGGATTCTCGGTGTCACAAGGAAAACCAAGGGCTCCGATGAAACCAGTTGTTGATCAGTAATTGACAAATCCTGAACATTCAACACGGGTATGAGCGAAGACTAATTTAGTTCAAACAGACCATAGCTTTCATCTCACGATTGATCGCACGTGTTAATAAGAAAAATCACTGGGACTAACTTTATTCGACAAGAATTGAGATGACAATTACACACAGAAATGGTACATAGAATGAATGTTCAAGCTATTGACACTATTACCTACAGCTTGAGGAAAAAATTTTTGTTCGAGACTTTCCTCTCTTCAACACCCCAGAGAAAGACCCAATCAGCTCGAAACAGTTTTCAACTCTTGTAGAGCTCTGCACCTATCGACGTCCAAAATCTCTGACGACCTAATTTTCTGAAGATCGGAGTAAATTCATCTACTGCAGGAAGTAGTTCCTGGGAACAATCCTAATCATCAAAATAAATTAGAAACATTCCTACTATTGGTATACAAATTATGTACATCGAGTTGAAAAACCTAGAGGGTTTGAAATTGTTGTGCAATCCTTCTTTGACCTTTGACGACACCTGTCACAGTGCTCATGGCGGAACTTTTCAATGTGAACCTATTTCGAAACAGCTGCCAGCGTCTGGATCCTGTTCGTAAGAATTTGAGCTCCTCCCAACCCACGCATCGTTTGCGCACACCACTCTTTCCACTGATACAACAACTTGCGAAGGAGCCCTACCAATCGTAAAGAGCAGGAGTGTTCCAGCGATCTGTGCATCGTGAGCTGTCTCCACTCAGCCGCATGCTTCCTCCGTCAGTTCCCCATTATTACCTTGAAATAGAATCACACGTGTTTTCCGGTCTAGACGACATTCTGCTCAAGCTTTCCTGAATTTCTTGGTCCAAGACTTCATGTAATCGTACTTCGACAGATAAAACATGACAGCCAGTAACATCACCAGAGCGTCATCCACCAATCCAAACACTCCGAAAATCGCTTCTGGAATGAGGTCCAAAGGAGAAAGGATGTACAGAGCTGCTCCGATCATCAAAACCCAATCTCGAGTCGTCTTCAACCCTTTTTCAGCCTTCTTAGGGTCGATATTTATCTTCTTCGCGTACTTTTTGGGGTCCATATCTGCTCGCCCAAGCTGCAGGTCAAAACTCAGGCGCAATATTTCCTCCGATTCCTCAAAGCAAGTGAGCTCTACTTCTGGGATCTGCTACTCCTCCTGCCTCTCACAAACAAAAAGACTCCGTGAATTCCGATAATTAAATCATCAGAACCCGCCGAACCATATAATCTTGTTCAAACGCTAAGGCACACTGTCGATGCAGTCGCAGTTTCCTTTGAACACACGTCGCACTTTGTCTGTAATGGAAATCACATTGGGTTCGAATCTGTTTGGGGCTTCACCTGACACGCGGCGAGCGCGAAGTGGCCAGAGTTCATGTAATGACAAGTGGCGCCAACCTGTCACACATGAACGTGTGTGCCACTCTACTTGACGGAAAAGTAGGCGGATGCATGTGTGTCATCGTAGGAAGACATGAAGCTCCTATAACTTCGAGGTGAATTCCCAAAGCATGTGAAGATGAGATTCATCGCTTCGATGTAAGCAGAATATGACTTGAAGACAAATTCCCGGAAGCCTCTTCATAGTTGCAGTGGAGTTATGCAAAGATTGTTCGACTCCGATCACTCACGAGTCATGAATGTAAGCCCAAATAACTTTCTCTTTATATCATGGAATTTCAGAGAGCGTTGAATAGCATTAGAAGAGAGGCAAGGCCACAGAGTCCTGAACCCTAAACGCCGGCCAAGGGTGTTGGCTTCAGATGCCGACAATTGAACGAGGCTTTGACGTTATGGTTTGCTGGCTTTAACTCGAGCAGAGCTGATACTTGTGTCAATGACTAGCAAGGCACTGCTTGAGACTTTGACTTGAGCAGAACAATCTCAACATTGGAAACAAGTTAGTGGGATACGTATCATGCACAACTGTCATCACGTGGTAGTGCCTTGCCCAACAGTATCCTTTATAGTAAACATTTGAGGTTTATTGTCCTCTTCAAAGTCTCGATCCAATATCTCCCAGGTCCACAGTGAAAGTGCAGGCATTGTTTATGGAAGAGATATCATAAAGAGTATAGATAAATATGAGGTTTGATATCTTTAAGCAAAGAGTCCGCACTGGAAGATTGTTTGCCTAGTTCTAGGAGGTTGTGAATGCTGAGAAACAAACAGCTTCCAGACTAGTGCACTTCGCATCTACTGAAATGTCGTGACAGAGTCAAAAGAACGAAGACGAGGCATTTGAACGAAAAGTGGAAACAGGATGCTTTGTATGTCAAGTGCAGGATAAGTCTGCTCGAGCAGGGTTAGGACTTTGGTGACAGTTCGGTATACGTCGAGCAAGATATGCAAGGAACGAAAGGTGTCCATTCACGAAAACGAGGAACTCAGATCCACAATGGACATCAAATTATCAACGACTACCATTTTGGGAAACAGGATTTCGACTTTGTTCGAGACAAGCATGGTTCAGAGTAGTAGCCCTTGGGAGCACGCAGGGAGAGACTGCTGCAGCCCGAGAACGGTCAAGAGCTTTCCTACGGCAGCAAGTGTTGCAGCGATGGGCAAAACCTAGTGAGTCACTCGAAGAAATTCTGTGCTGAATGTAATGATAAGCCAAATCTGGTATCTGCAAAGACAAACAAGACTCTCGCCTCCAGTGAAGCAAATGGAACGCGTCAGATCAACGCGTTGCGCGGCAGCCGAAGCTGTTGGAGCAGATCAGGGCCTGCTTGGAACAGACCTCCACTCAGATAACCCAACTGTCTTGATACACGGAGCTGCAAAATGAAGAGTCCCAGATCAACAATGTATCGAGAGCTCGGGAGCACGAGAAACCCTCTGCCATATACGGAGCGTCTGGAGCACGGCCGAATGCGCTGATCTGACGGGAAAAAAAAACGAGAAAAGAGAGGGCTTCGAGCCACTGTCGACCGTCGACCGGACGATCTGGTGTAGGGACCACAGACGAGCGATCACTGACTTTCATGAAGCACCACGACCCACGACAATCACTTCTCAAGACTCGCGAGTACAGTTCCCACATGCAAAGCATGATTCTGCGCCACCCGCAAATATCGGCCCCCGAGATTCTCTCTGGCGATCATCGACGACCAAAGATCTCCTCGAAGCCTCCCCTCGGAACGCAGCCGACAGAATTCCACACCTTGCGATCCACTCGCGTTTGTTCTCATCCGCAGCTCGCCAGCCTTCCGAAACCTCGAGTCCTCCTCTCGTCCGTGCTATCCATCCCACTGGCCAGCCTCAAACAGTATCTGCTGCTGCTGAGCTCTCAGTGTTCGGGCAACGACATCGGACCGACTGACAGGACATCGATCGATGTAGGTCGAAGGCACAGAAGGACTCAGGATAAGCGGAATTTGCCGCTCGATTCGCATGCGCAGGAGAGGACGAGCGCTCGATGATGCAGTGAACGCTGCCATGCGCGTCCGATCGTCGATTCAGCCTCGACGAGCCCGGCAGTCGGAGACAGGGGACAGGGATCGTCCGGGGACGAGGCCGTCTCGGACGGAGAGATCGCCAACATAGACTCGCCCGGAAATTGCCATCATAGAGAAGGGAGGCGAGCGGGGTCGGAGGGCAGCGGGGGCGGGTTCCTGATGGGGGACGACAAGAATGCCAACATGTCGATCTCGCCCGAGAGGCGAGTGGTGGGGGATCGCGAGCTGCTGATGCAGGGGCACGTCGACGACGTGGAGGACCCTCTGAAGGCCGGGCCGCCCCAGACGTCGAGCTACAACGCCGGGCGCGAGGCGTTCATCGCCGTTTTCCAGAGCTGGGCGTCGAAGAAGTTCATGAGCGGCTGCGTGATTCTGTTCCCGATCGCCATCACCTTCTACGTGACCTGGTGGTTCATCGCCTTCTTCGATGGCTTCTTCCGGCCCGTGTACAAGGCCATGGGCGTGCACGTCTTCGGCGTGGGGTTCGTCACCTCCATCATCTTCATCTTCCTGGTCGGAGTCTTCGTTTCTTCCTGGACAGGCTCGTCCGTCCTGTGGATGGGCGAGTGGTTCATCAAGCGCATGCCCCTCGTCAAGCACATCTACTCCGCCTCCAAGCAGATTAGCGCCGCCATCTCCCCCGATCAGAACACCCAGGCCTTCAAGGAGGTGGCCATCATCCGACATCCCCGCGTGGGCGAGTACGCCATCGGGTTCATCACCTCGACCCTCATCTTGCAGAACGAGGACGGAGACGAGGAATTGTGCAGCGTTTACGTGCCCACCAACCATCTCTACATCGGCGACATTTACATGGTCAGCTCCAAGGATGTCATTCGGCCGAATTTGTCCGTTCGAGAAGGGATCGAGATTGTGGTGTCCGGGGGCATGTCCATGCCTCAGGTGATCACGCCCATCGACAGGAGGGGGATTTCAAATGATAGAAGCACCGTGCTGGACCCCAGATAAGCGGCAGCTGCACACGATGTGTTTACAAGTCGATGCTGTTCGGAGGTCCTCATCGGACTAGCCGTGTTGCCCCTCCTCCGAATGTTTACGACATCTTACAGCGGAGTCACGATGCTCTGTCGCAGGGGAGGGACATCGATGAGTACACTCATCGGTGAGAATAGAACTGCTAGTGGCTAATAGAATCATCATATGCCAGTTTTGATTTCTTGTATATCAATTACTCAATTCACCAAATTCCCATCGCAATTGTCGATAGCTACTCTGAGTGTTGAGGACCCCGTGTATGGACTTCGCGGTATCGCTTATTGCCCTTTTGAAGAATATGTTCTTCTCGCGGACCCTGTGACATACCTTCCTTCGTGACCGCTCGAAATCTCATAAAAGTCTACCTCAATGTCTTGCCTGTACGCCCAGAAATCCTAGTCTCAGAGAGTTATGCGCAATCGCAGTCCAGTCGATCCTTGGAACACAGTGCACAGACGTTTGTACAAATCTAAATCTATATCTCGGCACTGGATTTTGGACATTTTCTTCAAAGCATCGACGATCAGTGACGTCTAATCGCAACTGTAGTGAATGTCATGTTTGTTTTTCCGGTGACTGGACACCATCGCCATGCAATGCACGTTGTTCCTCGAGCGATTATCACAAGTAACATCCCTCATCCATCGACTATGACGTTTGAGAAGATTTCACGTCGGTGTCAAAAGCCGAAGTAAAGTCTCGGCACGAAGTGAGCAAAAGCGTAGTTGGAGTTTGCATCGTGAAATAATGATCTTTAACGAGGCATTTACTCATGTGTGTATGAACATCTGATTTCAGATAAAAGGCCATTTTTCTGCGCATGATACACTTTGATCACACCCTTATCAAGTCGGATAATTTGGCTTCCGAGACCAAAGTGGCTGTGAAGGAGATGCACAGAGGGAACCATCTGCAGCTCTTATGATAATGGAATCTCTCAGAGCCAAATCTTCTAACACACTTTAAGAGACTGAAACCTTCAAGAAACAGCAATGCAGGAAACGGGAGAAAAACAATGGGGAAACCGTATCATAATGATTGTATAGATTTCTTGACCTCATTGGTAATACGGGATGTAAAGAGAATCTGTATTTTCGTTGCACATTTTGTTCTACTCTCATACCAAATACACTTCTGTGGTTAACAATTTGCATGTCATTCATTCCAATATTATCAAACGACGGGTTGCACCTTGAAATAATTTCCATTGTTACCATGAAGAGTAGTACGGAAGACATGCATCACTTAAAACGTATATTCTTATAATATATAATTATGTCATTTTTAAAGCTTTTACTATAACCATATAAAACCAAGGTGTGCTTACTTACATGACAAGAGAGAGTCAGGGTACATCTACAAGAAAAAGTTTGAAACAAACCTGGAAAATTATGCAATAAAAGGTGCTATGGAAACATATTGACTCGTGGACGAAGCAAAAGTCAATTCAGCGTAGAAGATCCAACCCCGGAGCCAAAAGAAAAGGACGGATGTTATCTATTTGTTATAAAAATAATATATCTCCAGAAATACCAATGATGTCCCTACAAATGGACACTAAACAATGGCGATTGCAGATGGTTTAAAATAAAGTAAAGTAAGTTTTAAAGATATCTATATATTTCATATTATTGTCTACCATATTCTTAGGTTGTAACAATTACATAATTGAGTATTATCAAAAATCATTATATTATATATTTATTTACAAAGAATTGTTATTTTAACAATAGTTATATCAAAGTAATGTTGAACTGTTTTTTCTCCATTGACTTACATGAATATCCAAGAATAAACTTGATAAATATGTATCAAATCTTATAATGAAAACCGAGATATGTGATTTGATAATATTACAAAATTTATTTCCAAAAAAATTCCGAATAATTTTTTTATACTATTTATTTATTTTGATTGAAACAAAATTGAAAGAATTATACATGCCAATATGACACCAACTGTTCATCGCCATGACTTTTGCAGATGATTTATACAAAAAGGAAAGAATAAATCTGTACGAGAAATGGAACATTCTCTAAACCTTCAACGAATAACTCTGTGAAGATGTAGACTGCAATCAATGTACACAAATCAAACAGAAGAATGATGGACCCAATATGTAAGATCGAAAAAGTGATATTTCAGTATTTCAGTATTTTCTTTGGTTGACAAATGTATTGAATGTGTCAAAACAATTGCCTTCTATCCTACGAGTATGTAGTGTGATGGATACTCAGTTATCAAACCAAAACTGTGACAAGTTTTGCTAGACTCCAACCTGTTTTACTCTAACCCTATATCTCACTTTGCTAATACCCTGATCTGCTTCTACTAACCGCTGGTGTTACAAGGTCGCTAATATAGTTCTACAAAATCGATGAAAGAGCCCAAGCCAAATTCACATCGATCACTCGTATTTACACGAAATTCTGATCCGGAAACAAATGTATTTACAGTTGGGACTTTCTAATTTGCAACCGAAGGTGCTTTCCCATCCCATGCCTAACTTTTCGAAGACTGGATAAAGTTTTTTTTCCACACTCTAGGAAAGGATGAATACCAAAGCAAGACACCCAAAAAACTGGAGCTGCAGGCCCGAAAAAAGCATCCAGCAACCGATAATCACTCTGATCGAATGATTGTGGATACCCCAGATCATGAAATGCCCTCTTATTTGAAGCATATCTAGAAAAGGTTCAAGTCGCTATTGGTACAAGATGTTTCCAAAGTCAAGGATATTTAGTGGAAGATTTGCTTCCTTGCCTTGAAAGTTCAAACTCACTGAGTCCACTTGAAGACAGATGAGAACTTTCTGAATCTGACCATGGCAGGACTAGGGTGGAGCTTGGGGTCGATATAGAGTTGGAGTTGCTCGATTGTCCATCACCAAGGGGAACCAAAGAGTACTCTCGATGAAAGGTCACCATCTTCGTCAGGCTCTTGAGCCTTTGTGAAATTGAGTTCCTCAACTTTCTCCTTCCTTGAATATTCTGTAACTCCGACACCACTTCTTTCATGGTTGGCCTATCCTGGCCATCTCTGCTAGCACATTTCAAAGCAAGCTGCAATACGAGCTAAGTTAGTGAGACCTGAAACAGTGGGAAGGCTTTGATTTGTAATAAGTCGAAATAAACAACAGCACCCTCCACGGTCATTGCAGAAGAACGTATGTTCAGTAGTGTTGTCCAGCATAGACTTTCACTTGGGCCGAGACATTGATACCTTGGCAAATGCATCGATGGCTTCCAGGGTGTCTGGACTCTCAACAGCCTCTGCTAATTCTGGATCAATCATCTCTGAGAAAAGACCCTGCTCTCAAGCAGGAAATGTAAAGTTTCATCAAATTATAAAAAAGGTAATAATAAACCAACAGAAAGTGAGATGCTTGAAAAACGTAGTTGATTGTAGACATCTCGTCCTACGCAGCTGAGAATTTCGGTCGGTGACTTCTATATCAGTTTAGCCTTTCAATATGAAGTCAAATCTCTTGTATAAATGTACATGACAGTTTAACTCAGCATACTTACTTTGCGTAATAACATTTGGATTACCTAACGTCTGAACATTTTACCAACCAAAAATTCAATCCAGCATTTCGAGGACTGAACTACAAACCTGAGCCATCAAACGATTACATCTGTTGACAAGATTTTGATCCCTAGGCTGTCTCGTAAGATCCACTGGTCTCTGTCCTGTAAGAATGACGAGTAGCAGTACACCGTAACTGTATACATCTGATTTGTCCGTTAACTGCAGGGCAAAAAGAAGCCAATGCAAGACATGAGTTCCAGTAATAAATCTCGAGGGAAGTAAAGAATTGTAAATTCATCAACGAGTCGAATTGCTGCGCTCTATGTTCAGTACGGAACGACTTTTCGAACTGCGACAACGACGAGAGTTTTAGCTTTGTGTTGGATCTCACCTCGTACTGGTCAAAAAGCGCTGGGTCCTGTAAGAATCATGGCATAAACCTTAGTACATGATGAATGTTTCCGACTTAAGTCCACGGAATACAGGAAAATCAGAATTGAGGAAGAGGAAATCTTGATAGAAAGTAGGATGTGGACTGCGATCGGTAATTTCAATGGCAACTAATCGAAGAATATATTCTAGATAGAGAGTCAGACTAGGAACCACAGATTTTAACATATTCAGTCATTTGGTTTGAAGCCACTGAACATAGTATAATTGTTTATCTTGTAAGATAAACAATTGAAACCACTTGCAGATGAACCAAGTTGACTTACCATATAGCCAGGAGTACCTGCACAAGGAGCCAACAAAACAAAACAAATTTAAAGAAATGAACATTACCCAGGAACATCGCTGGTTCAATAATTGCTTAATGGCTTCCTCGTTCTCACCCAAGGCAGCCATACATACATTTCGACGTGCAATCTAGACGTCGAAAGACTTCAGTTCGTCCATTATGTAAACCAGTACATTTAGTGCGAAAAAAGGTAGATGGAAAGATTCATAAGAGCGCTCACAGTAGTTCATACCTTGTATTGCCGTTGGGACCGCATTTGCATCTGTGTCCTCGAGAGGGACGAGTTTCGACAAACCAAAATCAGCGACTTTAACGTTGTAAGTGTTATCCAGAAGAATATTAGCGCACTTGACATCTCGATGGTAAACAGGGGGAGACGTTCCCCAGTGGAGATATGCTAATGCCTCCGCTGTCTCAATTGCTATCTTCAAACGTAAAGTCCAGTTTAGGGGTGGATAACGAAAGTAGCTAGTGTCGTCAACCAATGCCTCAGAGGACCTCTGAGCTTCCGTTTGGCGTTTCATTTGGATGTGTTCGTGCAGATTGCCATTAGAGACGAATTCGTATACAAGGACGGGTACCCGTTTCTCCAAGCAGCATCCCAGCAAGTTCACGAGATTCCGGTGATTCAATTGCGACAGAATGACAATTTCATTGACGAACTGTTTCGCCTCGTGTCGTGTCTCGCCCATTCCGTGTTTGGCCATCTTGATGGCCACCTTGGTTCCGTCCCGCAGGGTTCCTTCGAATACGGTGCCGAATCCTCCAGCTCCGAGCTCGACCGAGAAGTCTTTCGTTGCCTCTCGAAGCTCGCTGAAGGTGAAAAGTTTGCATTTTTTGGCGCCCTCTTTGTTCTCGATCTCATTCAGCAGCTCTTGTTGGGAGAAAATTGCCGGATCGAACGCACGCCGCTTCCTCCGATAGAAATACCACAATAGGATGCTGTTGATGATAATGAACGCTACCACACTACCGACACTCACACCTGTTTTGCGAATCGCGACAACGCATCAAGTGTTGGCGATGATAGTAGGTCTTCAAGTAAGCCAAATGATAATTTGGTGCAACTGGACCAGAAATCTTGCTCACACTTTCCGCGCTTCATGTTAATTCATCAATTGGACATGGCGAAACTGGAACTTCGTCAATTGGATGGAAGCAGTAATTCGCGGCCGAAAGAAGGACAAACACATGAAAATGACGCACCGATTATTATAGGCAAATTGGAAGTCTTTTTGAGCGTGCAACGAGTTCCGTTGACGTGCCCGTCTCCGAAAGTCCCATCTTGGCACGTGCAATTCAAATCGCCAGAGCTGCTGTCGAAAGTGCACTTAGCATATGGGGGGCAGACATTGAGCTCAGCCTGACACCGGTCGATCCCTGCTCGAGTCAATTCACAAATCTTTCTTCAATCAAACTGTGGTCTGTCAATTCTTACTGACGGATTTCAAGTGATATCCTCTATCCCAGCCCTCATGTCGGCACCCTTCACGACTCTAAGGAACATGGAAGAAATATGGAATATCAGGTCAGGGAAACTTACAAGAGCAATCGTTACCACGAGCGTCCAGCTGGGGATCTCGACCATTGCCTTCCATGAATTTAGGGCATTTACACTTATAGCTCCCATCAATGTTAACGCATGTAGCAATACTGGAGCAATTGTTCGACCTCTCACACTCGTTGATATCTGGCAAGAGCACAAGTCATGTTAGAGAAGGGATTCCCAAGCTTACAATCGGGTCCAGGACCTTCTCAACGAAAAGGATCCGACATATCGAAAGCACCGAGTTCCGAGTAGAAAATGCGGAGCAGAGAATTGGGTCTGTGAAGGAAGAGGGCTGAGGCATGCCATGCTGTCGGGAAGCGAGCTAGTAGCTCCCATCTGAAGCTTAGATTTTGAAGGCAGTGAAGGGTGTGGAACAAGATCGTAGATGCAAGAGAAAATGATCGGCCTCAACTTGCCTTTACAGCCGGTGCCATTTTTATAACCATCTCCCTCGTAGCCCTTCTTCTCGCACTGACAATAGTAGCCGTCCAGCTGGTTATGGCATTTTGCAGATATGGAGCATTCATTGTTTTCAGCATCCACTGAATTGCATCTGTCAGTATCGTTGCTCGGGATGGAAAACGACAGAGCGACTCCGTAGTGTCCGTCACCAACTCCTGCCCCTCCGCCAACAAATGAATCTGGATACAAAACGGTGGAGTAGCCACAATTTGTGAAATCTTGGAATATTCCTCCGGTCGCATCCATTGCCATCGCCTTGTTCTTGCCAATGGTCTGTATGCAACAGTCATACACATTACAGTACGGCATCGCGTACTGGTTGACACACGAAACTGGACCGCACTGGGTTTTGAAATACCCCCCGTCAGCCGATCCTGAAGACGAACAAGATACGACGATGAAGAAATTATCCTGAGAAATCCAATAAGGGCTTTGCTCGTCGAGAGAAAGGCTGGCATTCACCTTCATGTTGCACCCCATCGCTTTGATATCCGTCGCATCTACGACAATGAATCCTGACTGTATTTGCGATACGGGCAGAAAATTCACCTCGAAAAATCGATGAGTTTTGGTGCCATTCCTGAAACGTTGTCCGAGAGTGGATGTGGCTCTTATGGAGGTCAGAACCGGCCACGGACCTGGCACATCCGACGTGAGATTTGCTCCCAGGTCAGTTCTGCACTCCAGCACAAAGTAGGAACTGAAGGCGCATTGTGATGAAAGTCCGAAGGGGTAGGGGATCGAGACGTTGCCACAAACTCTCTGACAGTCCGACCCATTGGATTGCAATTGCAACCGAGCTCTCGAGCCTGTCGCAGGTCTCTTCTCCGCACAGCGTCGGTTGTCGTAGTTTTGCAATGCCAGCAACGCGAGCACCGAGAGCGCAAGCAGAGCCACTAGATATCTTCTGCGGTTCGTCTTCATTGTTCGCCCACCACATTGTTTCCACCAGTCTGAATTCTGATCCCTCTCATGTTGACCGGCATGGACCACAGATGACCTCACGAAAACTCGATTTTGTTTTGAAAACGGTGGCCGGTTGATGTTCTCTCCGTTTGCAGAAAGGTCGACGTCTTGAAATTTCGAACACAGATCGATCATACTTCGAGAACTGGGTCGAATCGGCGACGTTATCGACGCGTATTATTTTGTTGGATTTGGGCAGAGATGTCTCGGAGAGCAAGCATCCGGACTACTACTAGCTCTCTCCGTTTACTTGAGCCCTGGGGCACACTTCCCCCTTTTTCTTCTGACTACAACCGAGACAGTCAATGCATATATACACATTTCCGAAGCTCAGTGAACCGATCGTGATTCATTGTCGTCTATGCCCAGTCCTTACGTGCTGGATGGTACCGGGAATCGCTTAGGACTCCGCTCAAAGTTTTCTTCACATAACCGAAGACGATGTCTTCGTGTTTACTCTCTGTGGGAGGGGAACTACTTCGTCGAAGAAATTCCCCCTTCTGGCAACGTCACGCACGAAAATACACTACTCCAGCTGCAAGTTGGTGTTCTGTTGAATGCTATTCCGTCCAGACAAATAGAATTGTTTTCCTCGTAGACCCATGTTGGTCACATTGTAGTTGGTGTCTGTTCTCCGCGTATAGGATTCATGATCTTCCTCTGTTCGGAACATTCTGGTGAACATAACTTGACAGTTTCAGCTGACAACTGACTTTCCACAGTCTGTGGGAAGACGACAGCGATACCCAGCTTTTCATACACGAACTATTGATACAACAGACACCTTGTGCCTTGGCAATTCATGTCTTTAATAGCAAATGCTTCCATCCAAGCTTTGCCTCCGAGAAACAACAAATGAATACACTAAAATCTTACTGTTTTTATATTATATCATTAGATTAGTTGTGCAGAGGGATGCAACTCAAAACACGACATGAGAAAAAATATAATTAATTCAACTACCCCATCAAGTCTCAAAAAGGAGAAATAGCGCTTAGTGCTTCTCAGTGGTTAGATCCCGAAACTTCACAACGGTATGTTAGAAGGTGAAAGGATCAAAATTAGCTTTTACAGCTATCACTTGGGAAAAACGTACATAATACGTAAGGAATTTGTGCATGAATGAAAACATCCTTTGAAAAATTGCATGTGTCCTTAACAGCTGCTCCATGAAAGTATTATGCTGTTAAAGATCGAAATGCATAATTCTGCTCGTTTCTTCTATTGCAGTTGTCAATTTTGATTCCATGTACAAGCGGAAAGTGATTTGTGAGTTCATATGCTGTCAGGTTATCACACAACCTTCGTCGACGTCATTTGTTCAGAAGAGAACTTATTGACGCGTATCACCCGGCTACTCTGATACCTGACGAGGGAGTATCTGGATTAGTATTCGGCCCGTTATGGAAATTTATCCGTAACATGGCGACATGCTGGTCTAGAACTGAGACTGCTGTGGTTCTCGAGGAGGAGAAAATTGTCATAATGCTCTGCTCATTTGTAGTAACTTCTAATTTAGTATGTAATAATCGTGCCTCAGTGACTATGTTCACTGTCTGTGAGCTGAGTTTGAGATACTGCCAAGTTTCAGGAGAACCTGATTCTTCACTTTCTGGTTGTTATCGGTTAGATTTCTGGTTATTTCTCGTGGATCGTGCATCGAAAAAATCGAAAAACCCACAGTTTATCGCGAAATCTACTGCTTGCATGCAGGACAAGGATCCAGAATACCAACATTCCAAATGTGGATTGTGCTTCAAATTGGTCATGATCAGGTCCAATTCGATGTCCGAAAGGTATGTATGGATAGTCCTGACATTCATGTATGGGTTTGATGTCCGTACAGGTTCCTGATGTGATCTCTGAATGTCGATCGATTTGGTTTGTGGATGCAAACCGCGAAATAAGTCGAACTTGTTCTCGTGTTTTCTGGCGTCTATTTCAGTCTTGCAGAAGAGTTTTCTGCACTTCTCAGTGTCAGGCAACTGTCTTTCAAGATCCTAGACTTGAACCTGGATCTAGGAAACTTCTCACTCGGCCGGTTGATGTTCTACCTAGGCTGGCTATGGGACGGAAGCTCTCTTTAGACCAGGTGTCACGCATGAACAGACAATAGGTCACGAACGACTTGATATTCTGAATTGATCTCGTAATGTTAGTTCGAATGAGCGTTGACGTAGCTTCCACATTCAGATTACTGAGATTTCCCACTGCATGGTACATTTGAACGCAACGACGAAGTTAATGTTGCGTCTCTTGGTTAATTTTTCGGAGCCAGAAACTATGATGGAATTGTAAACTTGCGGAGAAATTGTACCGTCATTACAATATAAGTAAAGAATATTCTTGATGCAGAGAAATCTGAAATTGCTTGCTGACATGCATCTAAGATGTACAGATCACATTACAGTCCATCCATGCATCCAGGAGCCAGAAATCCACTGTGTTGGCGTGTAACGGACCCTGATTCGCGCATCTCTTAACTTGATGAAGCAAGGAGCAGGACACAAGAATATTGTCATCAAGAGAAGAGGAAACCCAATTTACACTTCCTAAATGTGGCACTGTGCACTCGATGTGGACTTCACGAGATCCCGGACAGATGAAACAAAAGTCTTGCCCATAATCGTCTCTCTCGACACTGACTTGCTCTAAATATTCCGTCGCCTCCAGACTCAACCTCTAACAGCTTTGAGCCAGCCCAAATCTCAAGGATCAGTCACGTTCCTAGACCAGCGCCTACCTTCTTGGTTCACAATCTGTAACTAAATCTGAACTCTAAACGAATAATATCTGAACAGAACGAATTGCATACGTGTCTAATTTCACATCTTCCATTAATTCTTTATCATTAGATGGAAGACGTTGCCTCTTCGATCAACAAGCAGGTAAAAGAGCACAGTTTTAAACTAACTGTGCACATTGAATCAATCCCTGTAGAAATATCAGATAGGTAATATCAGTTAACGGAATTAATGAAGTTCATTCCTAACTTTGAAAAGCATTCAGTTTCATCCTACTTTCAGTTTTCCTCATACTCCCTAGACTCAAGGTATGATGGATCCGAATGATGATCAGTTCGAATTGTTCAGGTCTGATCACATGCGATGAAGGTGGTAAAGTAGGAGCTGTAATTACATCAGAGCTCTCTGTCTCTCTCTCTCCCTTCCTCTCTGTCTTTCTTTTGGTTTCTGGACCTACGCTTCAAGTGAACTTGACTGGTCTTGTGGAGTGGAACTGCAGTAAAGTAATTCGGTACAATCGAATTAGCCAACGATAGGACCTTTGCCGTACTTTCTACTTTCATACATAAAATCGTAGAAATTCTCCTGACTTGTGTACCAGAGAACAACTACTGAGTCGATCTGCCTGCCCTTCCAGGTAAAACCTGCAGATTCGAACATCTGATACGAGGGAAGGGGGGTGGGGAATTATCTCCCAAACGGCGATCTGGTGTTATCTTTGTATGTGCAGGTTTGACAAGGCTTGACTTGAGGGTCTTAATGCGGAACAAGTGGTAAGTGATGAAAACCGGCTGATTGGGCTGATTGGGTTGGGCCATCGGGCAGACCTTTAACAGGTCTGAGTGACGTTACAAGGTTCTTACTCAAGCAGCCACAGTTCCAAGGTCCAGTACAATAGTTTGATTCCCTTCACAAATCTTCGTCGTACTTTCAATCATGTCTACTCTATTCGTTTCGTCTCTCGAGATCCACCTCAGCTCGACATACTTAGAACGGCGGCCAGCAGTTTTGCATGGAACTTAGGTTTTTACTAAAGAAAGATTGGTGATATCACATTTGGCCCACTTTGGTCTCGTGAGAATTGTGACGTGAGGACTGCTCAGTTTATCATATGCAATGAAATGACTTGGTCCTATTTACTTTACCTTGTAAGGTATCAAACATCAATTAAGTTCAACAGATTTCCGGTGTATCGTGGTAAGCCTTACCAGGATACCTTCCTGATTTCTGTAAACTTGAGGGCGATGACGGGAGGACGGAGAGTAATTAAGAAGAGGGACTGTTTCTTCACATTTTTTATATTTTTTTTTATGTGATCTCCTTGTTAAGAAATGAGAACTAATCTGAAAATCATGAGTAGCTGTATATACATACATTTTGCAAGTTCTTGCTTTACGTTTTGACTAAACCTTTTAAAACCAGATTTATGGTTCAAGTCTTTTGTTTTCAATATTCTTTTGTTTCATGCCTTTGTTCTATTCCGAGCTTAAAGATTAAATGAGATACATGATGGTGTGACATGACACATAATTACTCTGTTCGTGCTAAAATTTACTCAAAATTTTTCGTCAGGCCATGTGGGAAGCTAAGATTGCTCCCCACGCAAAATTAACTAGATTTTGCCAATCTAATTACTTGTTTACACTACCTGTTTGCTAGGAAGTTGATGGAAAAAGGAGAGTGTAAGTAAACTAGAAAACTATGTCGGAGTAGGTGTGTGAAAATCGTAATAACACTAATTGGAAAGTTAGCTGGACACAAACATGGTATCTGGTTTTTTCTGAATGAAGTCCAAACCAGAAGAATCTGTTAGATATATTAGTTCCGAACCTTCTAAGTTTATATCTAGGTATCCTAGAGGGCTTGGATAGGGTTTTGTTGTAAGAACCCACTAAAGGCTAAAACTGCAATATAGTGGTAGAAAGGTCAAACCCACAGGGACAGAGGAACACACAAGGTACAAAGTGTCACGTTTAACAGACTATTGAGGAGTTTGAATTCTCAGGCGACTGTCACTCCCAGAAATACTGCAAGTGTCCACTCGGAGCGCACTCGGAGGTAGCACAGTGCAGCGTACACACACACACACACACACACCTGAAACTACAGAAACACAACCCAAAGATCAGTTAGGACCTCTACTCAAGATTTCAGGGGGAAAGTCTCTCAAGAGTACACTCAGCGAAGCTGCGGGTAGTGACTCCCAATTCCGGCTTTTACAACACTTCCACTAGCTTGCTGCTAGCGTAGGAAACCCGGTTTGGACTGCCTACTTCGGATCGAAGTCACTCATACGCGGTGAACAACACTCTCAACTCACAAAACGCGCAGAGAACACAGGTCCGCACTGAAGGACTCACTGAGAAACATTCTAGTAACACAATGACAGTCTATTGAAGAGTTTGAATTCTCAGGCACTTGTCATTCCCAGAAATACTACAGGGGTTACCCTGAAGGCACCTGCTGCAGCGTAACCTGAATTTACAACCAAGGCTTACACGAAGTAACAAAACTTCACTTTGGCATTCAGGGGAAAAATCCCGAAGGAGTACAATCAGGAACAGACACTCGAAGGTGTAGGGGCGAAACTATTCAAGTATCTAACTAGTCACTGGCTCTGAGCATCGGCAATCACCCGCAGGTGTAGATCCGAACTACTCAAGTCTCTAACCAATGTACTAGCTCTGAACATTCGTCCGAAGGCCT